AGCCTCTTGATGAAAGTGAAAGAGGAGAGTGAAAAAGTTGGCTTAAAGCTCAACATTCAGAAAACTAAGATCATGGCATCTGGTCCCATCACTTCATGGGGAATAGATGGGGAAACAGTGGCTGACTTTATTTTTCTGGACTCCAAAATCAATGCAGATGGTGTCTGCAGCCATGAAATTATAAGACACTTACTCCTTGGAAGGAAAGTTATGACCAACCTAGACAGCATATTAAAAAGCAGAGACATTACTTTGCCAGCAAAGGTCTGTCTAGTCAAGGCTATGGTTCTTCCAGTAGTCATGTGTGGATGTGAGAACTGGACTGTGAAGAAAGCTGAGCACTGAAGAATTGATGCTTTTGAACTGTGGTGTTGGAGAAGACTCTTGAGAGTTCCTTGGACTGCAAGGAGATCCAACCCGTCCATCCTAAAGGAGATCAGTCCTGGGTGTTCACTGGAAGGACTGATGCTGAAGCTGAAACTCCAATACTTTGGCCACCTGATGTGAAGAGCTGGCTCATTTGAAAGGATCATGATGCTGGGAAAGATTGAGGGCGGGAGGAGAAGGGGACAACAGAGGATGAGATCATTGTATGGCATCACTAACTTGATGTACATGAGTTTGGGTAAACTTCGGGAGTTGGTGATGGACAGGGAGGCCTGGTGTGCTGCAGCTCCCAGGATGGCAAAGAGTCGGACACAACTGAGTAACTGAACTGAAATGAACTGTGTTGCTTCATAGCAATAATGAAACTAGATGTATTTTAGGATGGTGCAAATGAAGGTTCTCTCCATAAACAGAACAAAGACAGGTGTATAATCGGGATTAGACGTCTTTCCTACTGCTGCTCAGTAAAGGAGAGAGGTAAGACAACTCCTCACTAGAAATGAACATGTCTGAGACTCAAATTCTCATCTCTATGCAACAACCCTCAGTAAAAGAATACAAAGCTTATTGAATAAAAAAGTGATTCTGTACCCAGAGCAGTGAAAATAGAAGGTCAACCTGGAGCACAATGGGCCAGAGAGCAAAGAAGTGCTTAAAAACCAATGGAGATTAGGAAGCTTCCACAAAACAAATCTGAGAGTATCTGGTGAGTCAAAATAATACCAATGATAATAGTTTCTAAAACATTGATTTAAAAAAATATTCCCTGAGTTCAGAGTTAAAAACTCAAATGTTTAAAAGGGGTGGGAACTGCTGTTTAAAGAAGACTGTCAGTTAATAAGTGCAAAGGAAATGATAATGTTATGGGAAAAAATCACTATTTTGCAAATAACAACTAATAAAATAATGAAATGAGGGAATGATTATCAGTGGGTAAAATGT